AACTCATCTAAGGGCCAAGGCCGATCTCACGGCCGAAGTCACATCTTCGAAGAGTTCCCTGGCAAAAGCCGCTACGATCAGCATCAGGGTACGCATAACTGACAAGAAGGCCGTCCTGCAGTGCGGATTCCTCGATGGCGGACCGACTTGCATGGAACTCAGCACGTTTGCTTAGAAATGTTACTCCTTAAGAAACATGTGCTGTCAGGAGGTCTTCCACCGTCATGACGCCTGCAGAGTTTTTGAAGAAGTCTGACGCTTAACTAAGCAACGACATCGTTGGATTCACGTAACAACATCACACATCTTACTATTGAGGCTTCAGGCAGCTGAGTCGTCTCAGTGCCTAGAGCGCCAGACCCAGGTTCTTGTTGCGCGTGAATCGCTCATAAATTAACATGCGAGAATTGCTTAGGCCTACAACGAATGTTCCGCCAGCTTCACGCAAGAAGAACCTCTCGAAGTGCCTGCGTCTCAGTTTTTTAAGTACAGCAGCATCTGTGTGCGATCTTTTCTCATGTAGGGCATCTGGACTCTGACGGTCGCTGGAGAAGGACTTAAACAACCTCTTATCGTCTAGACGTGTTGTTGCACACGCATCTTGCCAGGACCCAGCACATGACCAACACGCCTGCGTCGCTTGATGAGAATATGATTAAGTGCGCAGAATTTTAAATAATCACTTAGAACGTAATCGTCCGTTGTCAGAACCAGGCAACCCAGCGAGTCCCTGATGGTACCGAAGAATGAGCGTGGAACTCATTATTTATGTTTAGCAACTAATTATTTGGCATGCGCTTATCGTTCCGGCGTGTTGTGGCATACGCATCCTGGCAGGACCCAGCACGTGACCAGCGCGCTTGCGTCGCTTGATGAGAATGTGATTAAGTGAGCAGGGTTCTGATGAATTGCTTGAAAAGTAATAAACGGGGACCAGAACGAGGCAAGCCATCGACTCCCCGACGGTTGCGAAGAATGAGTGTGGAACTCAATATGTATTTATATCATCGATATGTTTAGCATGCATTTCTTCCCAAAGAACTACGCCTCATAAACCAGGAAGATGCCCATTGAAGCCTTGTCGGACGCTTTGGCAACATCTACGCATATTGACAAGCTCCTCCAAGTTGAGCGCCGCGCTGAGTTGTGCTGCAATTAGAAAAGCAAATTCACATTGCTACAATGCTGCCTGCATGACTGAGCAGGTTGACAGCGTCGCTCGCGTGCGCCATACTTTTAGATTGAAAGAGCACGCACGTGAACGTGCAAAGTGTTGCGTCGCTCGTGAGTTTGCCGAACAGGTTCAGCGACATGCCATTCATCCAGGCCGACATGTCGCTCCTGAAGTCGACCGAGCCCACCTGTCTCTGGACTTAATGAATCAACTCCAGAATATGTTGCGTATTCTGCATGTGTTTCACAAGGGATCGCCACTGGCTTCTGCGTGAAGAAGTGCATTGACAACGTCGGCGATGTGATCGCGAAGAACATATTTCATCGACTTTGCAGTACACATCGCCGCGCGACTACGCAGGA